AAGGCAAAACATTCAGAGCTCTGTTAAAAAGAGAATCTGTCATGAGGAGAAGCTCTGGATGACAACCTCCAGAGTCACACCTTCAGAATCTGCTGCAGTGCTCATATAGACCACATTCACCTGAGGATGGCTGAGCCAATATCTGAGCAGATAAGAGAGCTCTGGAGCCAGGCCAATGCAGAGCACCTTGAAGAGCCAATTGTTGCTGGGAGCTGCATGTCAGCTTGGCCAGGACTTCCTCAAAGCTGCTTTGTAATCTGAGACTCTTCCAGAGCAACCTTTCACCATCCTCCCCTCCCCTAAAGAGATGCCAGCCATCTGCATTATGCATGGAGCTTCTTTCTACCTACTCTTGTTTACTTTGCCTCTTTTCTGTCACAGATGTTGTATCATTCCCCCTCCACCACCACCATCACCAAAGTTTCTTGCACTTCTAATTCAATCCAGGGAACTGTTCCCAGAGGGTCCAAAATAACAGCATTGGGAGAGGTTAGGGAAAGCCATTGATAAAATGAGATTTGGGGTGTAATCACTCACTACCTAGCTGGTAAGAATGTTATATTTTCATGTGTTAGATGAAGTACAGATAACCCAAGATAATGCTCCAGTTGGTGAAAGCTACATCCATAGTACGTGACCTGTAAAAAGTCACAGTGGAAGCAAATGACACTGCCGATGTGTTAACCCAGGCATTTGAAAGATATAGAGAGATTAGTTCATTTAAGGACAATGGTGTTGGATGAAAGTTGCATTACAAAAATTTAATGAAAATATAAAGGCTGAGAATGAATAAAGACTAAGGTGAGAGCTAGAAGACCTTTTGGTTAGCTTGAAAAGAGGCCATTATCTACTTCAGTTGGAAAGCAGACAAGGTTGAGTTTGCAAATACAGTACTTGATTAAAGATTTGAATCTGTTATGTTAGTTAGGGTTCTGATTGGAAAACTTGCATCCCTAAAATATAGGAATAGGGCTGAATGAATGCCTTGACTCTATCTCTATAGGCTTACCTGTTCTTTGGGGACTCATCCTTATTAAGAACTAATCCTTTCCTTGTGGGGGAAGACACTGAAAACTTCTCTCCCATGAAAAGCAATAGGTGTCCCACGGGACCTGTTACCTCCTCTTCTGGCTGCCAGGCTGATATATCCCTGCATAGCCCTGCTTGTGGGTGCATTAGATTGGAAAGGGAGGAAAGATGTTATGCTTCCAAAGAAACTGAAAGAATTAGCAGGAGACTGTTTAAGTTTTGCAGGTACCTGGTTTAGGAAAGCAACAAGTAAGACTAAAAGCAAGAATTCATTAACTGTGAGCCCTTGAAACATAGAAGCAATACTATGGCAAGGATTACAAAGACAGATAACTCTTGAAAACCAGGAGAAATCAGTATTTGTACCTGCTGAGCAGAGATGAAATGTCTGAGCTGCCACAGCAGACAGCACAAATAGGAATGAAAAATAGCTAAGGATACACTGTGTGAGATATATCTTGTGAAGTCAGAAGACCCATCAGAACTGTACCTTCATCAGGAGGGACTGGAGCACACATTCTCACCAAGCACAGCAGGACCACATCAATAAGGAGGTCAATTTAACTCTTTTCTGCTTTTCTGTTGGTCAAAGCTGATAGGAGAAGTGGTCCCAAATTTTGGCTTATTATTAGCAATAGGAAAGACACAGGTACAGAAGAAGACAGCAACCAGGTGGTGTCACTTAATTGCCAGAAGCCATGGGTCTGCAATTACCACAATGACCAGCAAAGTCAAAGAGTAGTAAATAGGTCTTGACCCACTTAAAACTGTGGAGATGGTCATAGTTGCTAGAAGTGAAATAGATTAGCAGCCACCAAGGGTGCTATTTGACACTGTAATCATAAGTAAGAAAGACTTGGGGAGCAGGAGGGTAAAGGGCATTCATCCCAGTAAAACATCATGAGTTGTTGTTCCTGATTTAGCAAATGCACTCATTGCAGGAAAGAGGGTAAGAAGCAGCTTGCATGCATGTGAAACACAGAATGATGTTGATAATTTACAGGTTTACATCCAAACCTCAATTCACTTTCTTATCCACTGATATAACAATCGAGATGTATGTAGGTTTTGTCCATATTTATCAGATTAATTGATCCCTTACACCAATCAAATCATGCTGATAGCACAACACAAATCACAACTGGCTGACTTGCCAGTTGCACTGGAAAGTACTCATGCATTCCACAGACTGGGAAATAAACCCTGTGAAGAGTCAAGGACTTGGGTCAGAGATTTAGCTCAGTGGCACCACGCCTGCCTCACAAGTGCAAGGTCCTGAGTTCAATCCCTGGTACCAAAAAAAAAAAAAAGAGGAGGGCGGGTCAAGGATTATTATCTCATGAAAATTTTAGGAGTCCATTAGTCATGTGTAGTCTAGGATATCCCCTCCAAAATAAAGTTTAATTGGCTGTATTTCATATTCCCTACTGTGAAGAAGAAACACATCACCTGAACAGAAGCTCTGTTCAACTTGGGAGAGAACACATTCCACACTTAAAATAGTTGCCCAGCCTATATACCAAGAACAATGGAAGTGTGCTAGAATGGAGTGGTGCCTACAGAAAAGGGTTCTGAACCAAGTCCAAAGATGGTTCAAGAAGTCCTGCTGCTGGGCTAACGGGCTTCTGCAGAGCTAGCACGCTGGTAGTATGATGCTTACATTGCTAAAGCTTACAGTAAGCCAAAGTAGAAGGCAGTACAAATGTGGTTCCCTGGCTTTCTGGAGCCAAGGGTGATTACAGTGGAGACTTGAACACCTTTTGAGAGCTAGCTTCTGTCATGTTATTAGACCCTGGTATAGAAAAAAATGCTTCATCATTGACCACCAATTAGCTATATATCTGGCACTTCCTGTTATGGACCTTGTTTCATCAGTTCTGCCAAGTCATTGAAGGTGGATTATCCAGAAACAGTCCATTGGTCGATGAAGAAAGTATGCCTAGAATTGAGGCTTGGCAAGAACAATCTAGCTAATACTGCTTACGCCAGCATGAGACCAATGCTGATCCTGAAACAGTATAGATCATTGAAGACCACAATTGTCCTCTTCATAGTACAGGAACTATATTAACTCCTTTCATCCCGAGCCTGGATGTTAACCCAGGTAGGTTTTTCTCTTTTTACCAGCAGAGCCTTAGCCAGTAGTACTATCAGGGGCTTTCAGAATGTCTGGTTCACATGCATAGAGCCCCACTCAGCACAATATCTGATGTCAAAGTGAAGGAAGCATTGGCACATACCCATGACTGTGGAACCCACTAGTCAATTATGTACCATAAAACACAAAAGCAGCCAACTCCGTGGGCCTTTAGAACATCTTGCTTAAGGCTTGCTTGGTGCACCAGTTCAGAACCAATACTCTGCAAGGATGAAGTATTATCTTTCGGTTGATTATGTACACTAAGTTAAATACTTTTATTGTAATATTTCTATAATAGAATCCATGGATTTGGAATCCAAAGGAAAGTGTGTATATTCACAAACAGAAATTCTGGGCTTCTCATCCCTGCTATTCTGGATTCCTAAGTTTTAAACATGCTGGTCCTAATGGGAATGCATTCATACTAAGGGGCCCAACGAGTTTCCTTCTGAACTACTAGGTATAGTTGCTGCTTGGGCACTTGAATGTTTTTGTAGGAAGAAAGAAGCACGAGGTCCTGAGTTCTATCCCTGGTAGAAAGAAAAGGAAGAAAGAAAGAAGGAAAGAAAGAAAGAAAGGAGAGAGAGAAAGAAAAGAAAGATAGAGAGGGAGGGAGGGAGGGAGGAAGGAAGGAAGAAAGAAAGAAGGAAAGAAAGAAAGAGAAAGAGGGAGGGAGGGGGGGGGAGAGAGAGAGAAGGAAAGAAAGTAAGTCACTATCTAGGCATAAGTAGTTAATCCTGATCATGAGAAGGAGATGCTGCTGTCATTGTACAGTAATCCAAAAAAGAAATTACTGGGGACTGGGATATTTACTTGGAAATCTCCTACATGAAGTTATAACTAAACGGATATATGTGTCCTGCTGTGACATAGGTATGAGTGTCAGGACCTCAAACAGCCTAGAAATGAGGAATTAGAACATATCACTAGATAAATCACTAATACCTGTGGAGATCATAGCTGAGTGTGAAGGATATATAGAAGGAACTAAGAATAGGAAAACAGCAAGTAACTGTTGCAGTTTCAAGATAACCTGCAGCTGCAAAGGCTAGGGTTCTCTCACATCTTCTCCCTTCTAAATTTCCTGTTCTGGAAAGAGGAAGACATGCAAGTGGATCTGAGCAGTACATGGGATGGACTGTTTAAGCCAGGAAGGTGAGGTGCCCAGGTCTCTCTTTGAGAGGAAACCTGTTGTTGGAGTTGGAGTAAATGAAGTCTCCAGTTGCTATGCCTTCAGAATCTTCCATAGTGTGCACACCAAGCCTGACTTCACTCCTGTGTCTTGCAGCCAGTGATAAGTACGAGGTGAGTGAGGCTAGGCTGTTCCAGAGGCAGGCCATTTCTGCCTGCAGCCTGGCTCCTCCCATAGGGGATCTTTGCTCCAGGAGGTCCCCATTAGTATGGTTGAGATTTTCATTTTATTTTATATTATTTTATTATTTTTTGTGGCTGCAAAACAGCCTCAGGCTTTTTCTACCCAAATCTTCTTTCTTCCCTGTCTTTTCTCACAGATGTCATCATGGTCTACAGCTCACCCAACCTCCAGATCCTATTCCCTCTACCCTTTACTCTTACAGCCATTCCCCTCAATAAATCTCTCAAACTTAGAATTCTGTTCTTTCCTAGAGGATCCACAGTGACATAAGAATTATAGAAATGGGACTCAGAGACTAGCTTATGAGAAAGGCAAGCTCGGAGCCATGGGAAGTTGAACGAAAACCAAGGACTGACTGACAATTACTCTTCTGAGATTTTTTCAGTCCTTTATAACTGTCTCAATACTCCTGTTTTGTTTACTATTGTTGTTTGACTTTTTGTGGTATTTACTTACCATTAAAAAAATCCAAAAAATAAAAAGTTGCAGTTGCCAGTTTCACAGAGAGAGGAGAAGTTAGCAACTGTGTTCTGTTTTTTAGCTAGCCTGGGCAGAGATGAATCCAGCAGGGAGAGCCGCCTGTAGGGAGAAAGTGATAAGCAGGATGCTTAGCTCTAGGTGAAGGCAAAGAAACCGAATGTTTGTTAACAACCAACTTGGGCTAGATTGCACACCTTCCTACCAAGACATCTTTGAAACATTTAAGCATCGAATTAGCATAATCTTCCCTGAGAAACGTGATCTTGGCTAAAAGGCCTTTGTTTTGGCATTTTGGAGGTTTATGAAAGCAACCTGGTCTACTTTCATAAGGCTGCTAAGAAAAGGGATTTCTAGTTGCAAAGAAAACATGAGAACCAGGGTCATGTTCATAACTTACCAAGCATAACATGAAGATATTCTACATTTCCCTATGGTAGCAATCCAATTCCAGAAATACGTTTCACTACAGTGGGAGAGAGAGAGAGGGAGAGAGAGAGAGGGAGGGAGAGAGAGAGAGAGGGAGAGAGGGAGGGAGGGAGAGAGAGAGAGAGAGATGTGTCTAAGCCAAATGTGGGAAGTGAGAGGAAGATTAGAGTGAGAATATTGCTAAGAATCAAGAAAAACTATAAATGTGGAACATCCAACTAGAAAAGAGAAATCACTACTAACAAACATTTTGTCTGTTTAAACCAAAAAATCAGGGCATTCATTATCAAGTTGAAAATAATTTGAAAATAATGTCTATGCAGCCAGGTGGTATTAATAATAAAACTAAACCTCGATATGGCCCATACTCTCAATTTCTTTATGAACACCTGTCAACAATATACATGACAAGCAATAGCACATATATAACAAGAAAAAAATTTAATTGTTACCCCTGCTACATTTTAATTACATCTTCCATTAGGATTCTTCACATATCAACTATCAATGTGACAAATTATTACTACCTGTATTTTTTTAATTTTGTCCTCTTGATTGAAGATAATTTGAATATCTAGGATCCAGAACTCTAAGAGTTGGCATTGCTTTGTTATAGCCATCTGTTATTTAAATTCTCTGAGTCTCAATTTTTCTTATCTATAAATTAATGCTTAGAATGCTTGCCTCTTTCCAAAAAAATGAAATATCTAGGAATCAATCTAACAAAGGAAGTAAAAGACCTCTACCTTGAAAATGACAGCACTCTGAAGAAAGAGACTGAAGAGGATATAAGAAAGTGGGAAGACATCTCTTGTTCCTAGGTAGGAAGAACCAATATAGTGAAAATGATCATACTTCCAAAACTGCTATATAGATCCACTGAAATCCCAACAGTATATTTCTCAGAACTAGAGAAAACAATCCAAAAATTCATTTGGAACCAGAAGAGACCTAGAATAGCAAAAGTAATTCTAGGCAACAAAGACAAGGTAGGGGGTATCACAATCCCCAACTTGAAACTATACTACAAAGCCAAAGTGATAAAAACAACATGGTACTGGCAAAGAAACAGACCCAAGGATCAGTGGAATAGGTTAGAAGATGCAGAAACAACTCCAGACATACTCAGGTCATCTCATCTTTGACAAAGCAGCCAACCACCCTCACTGGAGGAAACATAGACTCTTTAATAAATGGTGCTGGAAAAACTGGATTTCAACCTGCTAAAGATTAAAACTAGACCCATATCTTTCACCATGCACTAAACTAAAAGTGGATCAAAGGTCTAAATATTAAAACAGAAACATTAAACTTCCTAGAAGATAGGTTAGGTAGAACGCTTGAAGACACTGGCATAGGAAAAGACTTTTTAAACAAAACACAGAAGCACGGGAACTAACACAAAGAATCAACAACTGGGATCTCATCTTATTAAAAAGCTTTTGCACTGCAAAAGAAATCACCAACAGAGCTAAGAGACAACTTACAATGTGAGAAAAAATTTTTACCAGCTGTTCCTCAGACAAAGGGCTACTATCTAGAATATATGAAGAACTTTAAAAAAATCAGACCCCCCAAATTTAAATACCCAATTCAATATCCAAGCATCTGAAATAAACAGACATTTCTCAAAGAAGTAAAAACAGAAAATAAACATATGAAAAAAGTTCAACATCACTAGTCATTCAAGAGATGCAGATGAAAACAATACTGAGATTCCACCTCACCCCAGAAAGAATGGCTGCTATCAAGAAATCAACCAATAACAAATGCTGGTGGGGTTGTGGGGAGAAAGGAACCCTTTTCCATTGTTGGTCGGAGTGCAGACTGATGCAACCACTGTGGAAATCAATATGGAAATACCTCAAAAAATTAGGATTAGAAGTCCCAATTGACCCAGCTATTCTGCTGGATATCTTTCCCAAAGAATTAAAAGAATCTTACCACAGCAATATATGCACACCCATGTTTATAGCAGCACAGTTTGTAATAGCTAAAGCTTGAAAACAGCCCAATTGCCCATCAACTGGAGACTGGATAAAGAAGACTTTTTCTTTTTATAAAATGAAGTACTACTCAGCCATAAAGAATGAGAAACTAGTGACATTTATACCTAAATGGATGCATATTGAGGTCATACTCTTAAGTGAAATAAATAGGACACACATGTGTAAATATCGAATAGTTTCTCTGGTGTGAGAAACTGAAAGTGTAAATAAGAATCAAAATGTATAATTGATAATGTGAAATAGGAAGATAAAGTCCAAAGGGGAAGGGGAAGTGGAAGGGGTAGGGGATAGGAATAAATATGAGAAAAAAAAAAATGGAAACAAAGTCTCTGTAAATAGGGAAGGGTGGAGGAGTTGAAGGGAGGGGAGGAGAATGAGGAAAAAATGAGAACCAAGATACATCAGGTAAAGATATGAATTCCCAATGATGAATGTCATCATATTGTATACCTAAAATGTACCGATAAACTTAATGAAACAAACAAAAAAAGAATTTTTGCCTCTTAATGATGAATGTGAAGAAAATGAGAAAATGTATACAAAATTTTTTTTTCTGGCTCTCTTCATAAGTAGGTGCTTGATAAATCTTAACTTTTAGCAGTAGTAATAGAGAGTAGTAGTTATAGTCATTGTTGCAGTAGTTGTAGACACCCTGGTATCAGGAACTGAAATGTGATTTTTCTGGCAATCCTTATTTTTAAAAAGTCAGGAGATATATAAAATGAAGTCATTTGGAAATGATTTCTTAAGATGACTAATTTTATCCTACATGAAATTAGTGAAACTTTATACCAACAAAGAGAACTACCAACCCACCCGTAGACTAGTGAGAAATATTTAATGGGTTTTTAAAAATTATTTTGATATAGGGTCTCACTATGTTGCCCAGATGATCTTTCTTCCTCATCCTCCTAGAGTTCTAGGATTATAGATGTGCATCATTACTCCCAACTTACTGGTTGTTATTAAGCCATCAAATTTTATATATATATATATCACACAGAGAAACAAAATCATAAAGTTTTCAATAGACTACATTTTTAAAACATTTTGTCATGGTTTCCTTTTTATCTTACTAAATATTTTTATTATTATTTCCACATTTACCTTTTCCTGTCAAAACCAACCAAAATGAATAGCCTCAAAGAAATCGTGCTCACATCTTTTTGTGTTCTTAGAGTTACATTTACACTATTGCACATTTGTTGGGCTTCTTATTGAGGTTTTGCTTAAGGGATCATAATCTACATTTTTTTTATGTCCTATTTTACTTCCTCAACATTACATGTGTGCCAATAATTCCAGCTTATGAAATATAGATGCTGCTCATTCTTTTACCGTACCTGTAACAGTTCATTATATGGATGTACCACAGTTCCTTCAACCATTCCCTTAATAGCAAGCAGTCAGAGTTTAGCAACTTATTATTATAATAATCTATAATAAACATTCTTCTATTTTCATCCTAAATTTAATTCTAAAACCTTTCTAAACTCTTTGTAAGCTTTGAATATCCTTATAGTTAGGTTTTTTTATTTCTGCAAAGTAACAAAGACTGAGAAGAGATAGCTAGGCCAATAGGTATGAGTATTGTATAACTGATATTTCTAGCATAGTTTTCCATTAGCAGGAAGAAATTTACATTTCCATCAACGGTCTAGGTGATGCCACCCCTCCAGTAACTCACCCCTGCCACCATCTCCAGGTCTTATCACCCCGTGCTCTGCAATTTTACTTGACCATATGTGGCCCTGATCTTGGTTCCCATGAGCACCAATATAGAGGACAAATGTTTGCTTCCCACACTCTTCTCTCTTGCTCCTGAAGTTAAGGGAACTTCTGGCCAAATCAGTGGTTATATTCTAGCTAAATCTGCTGTGCTCCTGCTGGCTGTTGCCTGCCCTATGTGACACCAGCTTATTCCAAATTCTCCACTGCCTGAGCTCAGCAGTTCTTTCTCTAAGTTCTTTCTATCATGTCCATTTTTCTGAGAGCAGCTTGCCCTCCCAATACCATAATAGAGATCTGAGAAATTCTCTAAACTTCTTTATTGTTTTTGTTTTCTGTTTTGCTTTTTGTTTTCCAGATACTTCTCTACCTAAAACTCCCTAAGTTGGCAGTGCGAAGGGTAAGATTTGAGGATGCTCTGAGTACTATGTGTATAAAATACCCCTTTATTTTACTAACTGCATATTGACATGTTTTGGGGGAAAAAACTTCCTACATCACTATATTCCTTGAGCCTCTGTGGCCTCAGTCCACCACTGACCTTCCAGTCTGGATTAGCAATGGCCACGTTATAGTCACAAAAGGTCATTTCTGGATATGGATACCAAAGGAAACTCACTGATCTTCACTGTCTGTTCCTCTATCATGAGAATATTTAATTGACCAATTAGGTACTCAAACATTATTTGATCATGAGACACAGATCAGTACATAATCCACTGTATAGAACATAAAATAAATCTAGAGAAGACTAAATGAAAAATGATAAGCTTGGAATAACTTGACTAACCTTTGTTTCTCCTTCCAAATAGTATTTCTTCTTTTCCAGAAAAGAAGGTGGACAGAATGAAGAAGGTAGAGTTTCTGAGCATCATCTCTAGTGAAATCCATGACAGCATCAGCTACATCATGTTAAATGCCTCTGAGACATTGGAAGCAAAAAGAGAAAATGTGTGTAAATGGAGCTAAAATAAGCCTTCTTCCTTTCATTCTATCTTTGACCTTGAATTACTTATTATTCCTCTGAAACACAATAGGGATCAAACTGATTGACATAATAAAAATCAAAGGATTTTACTTTCATGAAAACTTATTTTTCAGAAAGCCTCCACAGATGACTAACCCAGCTGGGGACACAGGTATGATTTTCCTTTCCTCTGCACAATTGTTTCTGATGAGGCAGGTAGGGATGTGGCTCTGGAAGTGACAGACCATTGGGATACGAAACATGGCGACGAGTCACCTCCAACAAGATGGAACTGATATGCTATCACCTTGCATAGACTTCGGTGTCAGAATCACAGTTGGAGTTTTGATGGGTGATAATTATTAAATCTGAATAATTAAGTTTATCTATTCTTAGGGAGTATTTGACCCAATAATTATTACTCAGAAAACTTAAGCATGTGTTTGAAGTGCACATTTTATCACCAATGATGAGCCTGTCAATTTCGTCCCATTAGCCAGTTTTTGTTACAGTCCTAATGTTAATATAAGAAAAGTCCCTGGAAATCAGTTTATAATCATAAACCCTTACATATTCTGTGGGTTATAAACTATCAAAATAATATTCTACTTGTGCAGAGAACATCTGACAATCTAATTTAAAAATAAATAGAACCAATCAGATAGTATTTCACATTACTCATTGTAGCAACTTCACTAAGAGAAAGAGACAAGGTGGAATCTACACTTATTTTCCTTGTATAAAATGCTGACTTCTTTATATTCGTCATTCCATTTAATCCCCACAACCACTTTATTGTTAGGTTTTTGTTATGAAGATACTGAAGATTTGAGAAGTAAAGCTTTGTTCACAGAGTTGCTTAGTGATGGAAGTTGGATTCGAACCCACATCAGTCTGGGTCCAAAGTTCAGGGGGTTTTCCATGTTTCTCAACGTGAGGGATATTCTCTACAATGAAGATTCACCAGAGTGCCAGGAATTTGGCCTTCCATAGCATAATTCAACAAAAGAAAAATGTAAACCAGTTGACTGATAATTTCAAGTTGTATATAGAGTGGAATTTTACGGACATATGGATCTTTAAAATAATTTAGTATTTCAATGGTATTTCCTGCTTGTGACAGCTACTTAAAGTCATGCTCCCCAGTTCCTTAGGAATAAAGTTGCTTTTTAAAAAATTACCACAAGGCTACTTTCAAGCGAAAATTAAGAACTCCAAACTTGGGCAGAAACAAACAAGTCATTAGGCAGAGGCAGAAGCTCAGGAATTACCCAGAGCTGGTGTGGTGATACTAGAAACAGCTGCAGAGGCATTCGTTTTATTTAATTTATCTTATTCAGCCATCAGGCCAGGTGGTCAGAAGAACAATGAGGATATGGAGTTATTTTTAAGATATTTCCAAATCCTTTTCTGAAGAAAACATGATTCAGGCCTGTTATATCCCTGGGTTATGCACAAGTTCAAAGCACACCCATAGCTTTTTTTGATGGGTCAGGCACTGATTATTAAATCTGGACTTAAGAGCTCTACTAACTACATGGAAAACTTTCACATCAGCGCCTTAAGGTGGTGTGTTCTCTTTGTCATGAATTTTGTTAGGGCTCAGCCCATAATAAAGAACATGTTGATTCATATCAAAACCCTTCCTAGATTATATTTATATATTAGCAGTAAAAGTTAAGCAAGAAGATTATATTTAGGATGACTAGGCAGAAATATGGAGCAGAAAGAGATGCTCTAGATTTCTATTTCATCTTCAATATTGCCCTATGGGTGTTGATCATCATTTTAAAAATTATCAGCCAGGAAATTAATTTAGTGGCACTAGCAAACATTATTTTAAAATGAAATGGAATAGAAAATAGCAGAATATATTGTCCATAGTAAGCATAAATATCCTTTTAAAAGCTTTCCCTCTGTTATGTGCATATAGTTACACACAGGCTTGAGTGCTGGATGGCGATATGTGATACCTTTTAAAGTGAGTCATAGAAAAACTGGAAAGTCACTGGTCTAGATGACACAGTAGGTGACTTCTAGTTCTAAAACCAAGTGATGATGCTTTTGTGCAGGGCTTTTCATGGTTTCAGGGCATCCGGAGTAGCTTTTTGCAGCCTCCGGGATTCTGGTATCTTGTTTAGCAATGCCTGCAAGAGGCCTCAGAAGGGCCGATGTGTGAGCTGCAATCCACCAAATCCAGGGCAGCTCCATCTTCATCTCTGGTATTCAAGGAGTGATCAAAATATACAGTGAATGATTTGTAAATCTGTTGCAGTAAGTGATACATTGCCAATAATTCCTTTCAAAATCTTTTCCTTCACTTCAAACAAATTTATCCCATCACTCTTGCCACTTTCTGAAGCACTTCTGAAAGTTCTCTTTCTGAGTATCTTTATGAGTTGTGATGAAAAACACAGTGAATGCTGCTGCCAAGTGCCATCCAGTGGAAAGCAGGCTCATAATAACATCGTGGCATGTCCTCATGCACCTTATTCACCACATCTGGAGGCATGTGACTTCTAGATCTTCCCCAAAGTCAAAATGGCCATGAAAGGTTAATATTTGAATGGATTGAGAACTTTGAAGCAGACAGGACAGTGCAACTAAAGACACTCATGAGAGAGACCTTCCAAGACTACTTCAGAAAGTGGTAAGAATGATGACATAAATGTGTTTGAAGTGAGGGGGGGAGTATTTTGAAGGGGATTAATGGTAATGTGTCTTTTACTGTAATAATTTTAAAATTTCAACATTCACTGCAGTTTCTGATCACACCTCATATAGTGTGCTATTGAGTAAGATATGCATTGAAGGACAATACACATTTCAGAAAAAATAATAGCTCAAAACCTGCTGTCTAAGAATATGCCCAAGAATCTAGAGCCAGTGACCTCTTGAATACATAGGGAAGAGATGCTAAAATGAGTTGATCTTCAACTGTAAGTCCAACTTATTCTCTATTTTATATATTAATGACATGCATATTAGTATATTTTATTTTTATAACCCTCTTGGTTAATTATGTCTCTCTCTCCCTTTTTCATAGTTGAATAAGACTTGGAAATATAAATATATAAATAAACAATTAAATTAAAGTCACAGATTTGAATTGAGCTAGCAAAAACAACACTGTCTAATTTTTTTTTTTTCAGGGGGGTACCAGGGGTCAAACTCCGGTCCTTGAGCTTGTGCAGCAGGCGGCAAAACCACTGAGCTAAATCCCCGGCCAACACTGTCTAATTTTAAAGCTTATGTATTTTCCCTACAGTGCCATGTCTCCATAAATACATAGCCCTCATCTCCATTTCATAGAGACAGATGATACCAAGTGATTTTGGAAATACAGTGTAAATGTTTTCTGGAATTACTAAAGGGTCTGGAAGCTTGATTGAACCAAATATTAGGGTTGGAAATAAAAGGTTGCTTTTTTAAAGGACAATGGAAGAGGAAAAGGCAAGAATGTGGAGGGAATTATAGATAAGTAAAGTTCTCAGTATCAGACAGACCATTTCACATCCACTCTCTGAAAAACAGAATTAAAAAGAGGAACGCTGGATTCGGCTCTCACAAAGTCACAGACAGCTGGAGACTTCTGCATCATTGATCCAACAAATTTGGAATTTTAAGTCTTGAAGGGGAGAGAAGACATGACATTCACATTGGCTCTGGGTTATCTTTGTAATGGCTGCCCTTTGACGTCAGGGAATCTTCAACTTGAGAGATCTAGATGATGCATGCACTGCACAAAGAAGAGCTGAGAATCATCCCCAGGCTCTGAGCATTAACATTCCCACCTCAGGACCACTCCACTTCTTCTTTTGTGTGGCAGCATTTCTTGGTTCCCTCCACACAGCCTATAACTTTCCACCAACCCCAGCCAGACTAGCAAGCATGTCAATGAGCCAATAGTGAGCTGGAGATCTGCCTTCAAACACTGTACTTCCAGTTCATTGGATGTTCTGTCTGGGGCACCCAGAAAACACTGGGGAGTCAGGACAGATGTGCCAGTGAACCAGGAACATCTGGAAAGTTTCGCTGAGTGATTTAGGATATGCTTCAGAGACACAGTGAACTCCTTCATTTATGGTGACAGAAACTTCTATTGCAAGACTGGTGAGACCCCAGCAACCTGCCAGGTCACATTTGTAGGCAAAAGATGAATGATATTCTTATTGCCTGTGCCACATTTTAAGGATCTTGTTTGGACAGTAAATTGGCTTGAAATAAGATATGAAGAATCTGGCTGTGATTCTAACACCCAGACAAGATGGTTTCAGAGCCCAGGGGGAAAGGCCAAAGAGGGTGTGATTCTCTCCAATCAAGTAACTAAATAGCAGCTGTTCCCATAGGCGAGAAGTACAAATGGCTCTGCTACTGAGCTAGGCTTACAATAAATCCAAACTAATCTTTGGGAAACTGCTCTAAATGATTAGTGTTAACAAGCATTTACTAAGACAATTGCATTATTTTCTCTCCTCAGAATCTCAGAGCCTAACAAACCTCTCCTGTCCCTTCTTTTGTCCCTCTGTCCCTTGTTTTGTCATTTTATTACATTATCTTTTTTTTACTTCTACAAAGAAAAACAAAATGCCACTCCAAGAATCTGTGCAAAGATGTGATTGCCAGACAAACAACCAAACTCTTAGTTCTTCTTGCTAGCATTGATTGTAGATTTGCCCAATTATTTGTTGCAACTAGGAGGTGACTGTGATCCACAGGAATCACACAGACAAATGCAGTCGCCCCTCCAGGTCTGTGCCATGTGGGTTCCAGGACCCCTGCAGATACCAAAATCTACAGATGCTCAATTCCTGTATATGACATGGCATAGGGTTTGGATAGAAGCTTCACACATCCTCCCGCTACATTAAATCATCTCTAAATTATTATAATACTGAATAGAATGTATATGCTACATAGGTATTGCATTGTTTAGAAAATAATGACAAAATAAAAAGTCTTCCATGTACAGTACAGACACAATTTTCAAATATTTTCAATCTGCAGTTGATTTAATCTAAGATGCAAAAATCACGAATATGGGGAGCCAAGTGTACCTAAATCTATGATCTTTTCATATTCAGAAGATGCGAGAATGAGCTTTAGGAATCCAGCACAAGATGTCCTCTCTACCACAGGTCTTTGTTTTCTTTTTGCCAATGACCTTTTAATTCAGAAAATGTCAGCTTTCTTGAAGGTTTCCCTCCATTATCCAATTGAGTATCAAAGATTATTTCCTCTCCTTTCCAACTTCTATCTGATCCAGATCTTGCTCAGCTCGGTCACTTTTGTGATGAATAAAGCACTAAATTCAGTTTGTGACAAATTGTCAATCAAAACAAGAGGTACCAAACATCTATTCCTAGACTGTCAGGGAGATATTTGAGGCTGTTTATTCTTATCCTGCCTCAGCTCGCTCACACTCTCTCTCTCTCTCTCTCTCTCTCTCTCTCTCCCTCTCTCCTCTCTCTCCCTTTCTCCCTCTCTCCATTTCCCTTTCTCTCCTGGCAACTTCAATTTCATACTCAAAAATAGGAAGAAATTACAGTTACAGGAGCAGCAGACAGTCAGAAGGCACTTTAGGTTGTATGATTGAGGGAGACTAAGTGGTGGGGGACCTAGGCCTGAAGTTGGAAGAATGTCAAGTGGAAATGCACCCTCTGTTTAGGTTATAGTCCTTGGACTTATTTATGCCCATACCTATTGCTCTCAACTTGTTTCTTCTGTACTGTTTTTGTCTTCTCCCTACAAATGAACAGACAAACAAAAATGATGATGTAATTCAGGCTTTTAAAAGAAATATTGACTACATGTCACAAAGCATTACAGAATTATGGACAGAGCAGGAGGTTGGTACTGGAGTACACATTCTGGCTATGCCATTTGTCATGGGGACACTGTATGAATAAAATAACATTTTTTTTCTCTCAGTCAGTCTGGCATTATACCAGCATGAAATTGCCCCTGTCAGGACATAGGGACAGTAAAATGCTGTGAGTGATCAAAAAACAAAAATGACATGATTTTTATCTCTTAATTTCAAGGTAAGTATAAGGATATGTGCATAATATACACATGGGTTACTTCTCTCCCTGATTCCTCTTTTCAAATGAATCTCTTTCATTCATTCCTTGGAGCTTGCTTCGTCTCTTTTATTAAATTCTGATACAACATTTCTCTGCTTTTCTCAGATTCTTTAAGCATGCCTTCCTATCTGCAATTTTTGAATCAAGAACAATCTAGAAAACATATTCACAAATACTATGACTTTCTGAAAGTTTCAAGTAAAAGGATTCAAACAGTTAGTTCCCTAGTGCTTTGAAATTTCTCTGGATCGACCATCTTCTGGGAGCATGAACCAGAGCAGCAGAGTGATACAAGACAATGTTTGCATGGCAGGAAACCAGTGACTAATAAACTGTTCAGTTAAAAATATTTTTTTCAGTGAAAGATATCTATCAGGAAAGTTATTTGACAATTTGTATGAAAATGAAGCCATCATATGTGTGACAATTTTTCATTCCTTACTGGTTGTCTTAGTACAGACAGACTTAGAAATGTGGACATTAGAGTTGTGTGAAAGAAGTAAGGGATACAAAAATTCATCAATTTGCCAGGGATTTAGCTCAGTGGCACAGCCACCTGCCTTGCAAGCACAAGGTCCCAAGTTCGATCCCTGGTAAAAAAAAAAAAAAAATCAATTGTTTCTTGGGATCTGGAAAAACTGTGTTTTCAGTGTGCTTCCTACAGATTGCCTGAATAGGAGATCATGCATTTTACATAATACTTCCTGATAAGATTACATCAAAAGCAGCAAAATTTCATGACACAAAAATTCTAAAACAAACACTTCTTTTATAGTGCAAACTAAGTTTCCAAATTTATATTTGTTGTTCTTCCTATGATTTCCCTACTTTTTCCTGTGCTTCTTTCCTCAAAAAAGACCAAGTGGCAAAATTCCATTGCCCAGCTGTATCCTTTCTGGATGAATTTTCCTTTCCCTCCATCTTCTTCCTAGCATACCTTCTCCATGTAAGGGAAACATCAGCTTTGTTGTTTCCAATTCTGTCCACCCTCAATTAAAATATTTAGGGACTGATTAACCACATAATGAGGTGTGTAGGGCTCATCTATGTCTTCGCACTCATCTTCTTTCCTTTCACTAAGTTTTCTTCTCCTGAGCACCGTGTTCTGAAGGAAGGGGCATTAAAATCTGTTTGGTGTCTGGCACAAGGGTTCTCAGCATTCTAACAACTCAAAAGGAGCTCTTTGAACAAGATCTGAGAATCTATGTGATCTCTGTGTATTCATAATTGGAACTTGACTGTAATTACCATGCCCACCAGCCCACTAAAAATGCCAGCACTGACTCTGAGCTACACCATTGGATTTAATTCTAGGAATGGCCCCCAGAAAGGTCACTGTGTAAAGAGTTAAACCAAGTTTTTCCATTTTCCCTTTTTCTCTAATAAAAGAAAAGCTCCTCTATGTAATTTTTTTCTTATTCTGATTTACTTTTTAATTTTTTATGTTTGCATCATCTTAAACATAAAACATCACCCAAAACAAAGTACAGATTATGTATGCTTTAGTCATGGACAAGTGGGTGTTGTGCCTTCCATGTAAATTCTTAAAAGTAAATGTGAAATCTCTGTCTCTACTAAGAGTCACCCATATGATCAAGTGCAGCCGTTATTCACACACCATGAGCACTGCTGAAACTACAAACACATCATTTTCTATTGCAAGCAGAGCAAGAAATGGCTATTTTTATGGATCTGCAGAATGATTTGATTGTGTATAAAAGGAGCGAGTGAAAATCACACCAGGGTGAAAATCTTATTATACATGTAACCAGCACTGTGCACAAGTCATAGTTAGATATGGAATGAAGTTCATTCAAACCATTAACCACTGCAATATACCCTAGGACTTATCACTGGAAATATAATGTTCAGGCGTAAGCACTTTGTTGTTGATGTCATGGTAGTGTTTTTCGATGGTTTGGGGCAGCTGTTAGTGGGGCTTTCTCATCAATCTGCTTTAATAATGGGTGATGACACATGCAGGAATTAATCTCCCCTGTCTCAAAGCAAAAACAGAATCCTATGTATAACTACTTTCTTACTATGGTTCCCATTAATTGTAGAATTTAAAACAGCTAAGGAAACTCATGGAGTTGGTAGTAGAATTAAATAAAATACTCAATGCCAAAAAAGAAAAATAGAAATAATGGCACATATTAGATGTTTTGTAAAGGTTAGCTGGAAAGGACAATGCACTTCTAAACAGTGATGTTTCTTACTGTGTGAAGTTTTCAGATTTTTGGCTGCTACATCATTCTTCAATGAGTGGGGTGGGGTGAGTAATTTGGCTACCCTGATATCTCCACTCTTTAAATTGCTCCGTACAAAATGCAAAGTAATATGTGAAAACAATCAAAGTTTTCCTAGCTTTTTGAGAAGAACAATTTCTTGAGATTCTAGTTAAAGAAAAACACACATGTTTCTTTCATTTGTTTGATGTAGGTTTTTAGTCATTGGCAAAAACAAACAAAATTAACAGCCATTTTCCTGGCAAATATGGTTAAAAATAAATAATTACTTAGCCACTAAAGTATAATAAACTTAGCTGAGACACAGTGATCTCCATTATCTGTTTCCTCAGTTTGTTTATGGCAGTAAAACTGTATTAAGTAATAATGAATAAATACACATTTATCTTATGTAGTATCACTTTCTACTCAGGAATATCAGTGATAAAAGCAAAATTATCTGATAACTTTCTACTACGCCCATATATCTTAGGAATAAAACAGACCAAGCAGAAAGTGACACTAAAATTTTAGATTATCTTCAGGTTGAGATATGTATCTGTACCTACATTTATGCACATATGTGTGTGTGTGTGTGTGTGTGTGTGGAGAGAAAGTTCTACCAAATATATTTTCTTTTTTTTCTTTATTTTTGGTATTGGGGATTGAACTCAGGACCTTTCAAAGAAAGAGAGGAGCCACTGAGCTAAATCCTTGGCCCTATTTTTTCTAAAAATTATATATTTTTTATAGATTTCAAATATTCAGTTGGTGCTCTTTTTTTTTTTTATGGTATCGGGGATCGAACTCAGGACCTTGCGCTTGTGAGGCAGGTGCCAGCACCACTGAGCTAAATCCCCGGCTCAGTTGGTGTTCTTAATAATGCTGTTCACGTGGGCAAACATCATCAAAAACAAAATACAAATGTCCCTTGGTGTCCATAGATAATTGGTTCCAAGATACACACACACACAGATGTATATGCACACACACAGGCACACACACACACACACACGTACATAGCACAGATTCGAGAATCTGCAGAAGCCCAGGAAGCTTGAATCTCTTGAGTATTTGTATGTATCCTAAAACACATCCTCCCATATACATTGTCTCTAGATTACTTGTAATGCCTAATACAATGTAACTGCTATATAAATATTTGTTAGTGTGTGTTGTTTGGGGAATAACAACAACAACAACAACAAAAAACCTGTACATGTTCATCAGTGCCATGATTATTTTTCTCTGAACATTTTGATCCATGGCTGGGTGACTCATGGATGTGGCACCCATGGATACGAAGGGTCAACTGTACAGAATACTTCTGTCACTGGACGAAGTACCCTGGGGTGCTTCTCTAGTCAACCCTCAATCTCCAGAGGAACCACTTTCTAAATTCTATCTCTCTCTCTCTCCCCCATTCTCCCTCTCTCTCTGTCCCTCACTCCATTAGTTTGTGTCTTTCCTCGGAATTTCTTTATTCTTTCTTGGCTATTATGAAAAGTGCTATTATTAATATTTTAGAAAAGATGTTGTGTGGACACGTGTTCTTAGTTTTCTTGGGTAAATACCTAGCAGTGAAATTGTTAGGTTAAGAGTAAGGACAAGTATAACTTTATACGATACCACCAAACAATTTTCCCACATGATTAGACTATTCCTACTACCAATGTTCCGTGGGTTCCATATCCTTGTAAATATGTGATACTATCAGCCTTTTCACAACAGCTAATCTAATGCATATAAATAACATCTTCTTACAGATTTAATTTTCTTTTTCCTTGTGACTAATGATGCTGAATGTATATTGTATTTATTGGTTTTGTGAGAAATGAATATTCAAGTCTTGTGACAATTTTTACCAGTTTGCCTGTTACTGTTGTTTTATAGGAGTTATTTATATATTTCAGATGATGTTATTTTGTGGTCTATATTTGTTAAAAATGTTTTCTTAATCTGTGACTTGCATTTACCTGTTTAATTATGTGATAAAAATATTTTAATTTGGGTTAATTTCTTTTTCTTTGTACTTTATTAAATTCTTTTATTGGTACATTGTAGGTATACAACACAATTACATTTCTCATTGGGAATTGTACCTTTACATAATGCACCTTGGTTCTTATTTTTTCCCCATTCCTAGCTCTCCCTTCACCCTCTCCACCCTTCCCTATTTACAAAGACTTTATTTCCATTTTTTCCATTTCTCATCATTTTTCCTTTCCCTTCTTTCCTTTCCCCTGCCCCTCCCACTACCCCTACCCCTTTGGACCTTTTCTTCCTATTTTACATTATCGATTATTCATTCTAATCATTGGTACATTTTAGGTATACAATATAGTGACATTCATCATTGGAAATTTGCACCTTTCCATAATTTCTCTCGGTTCTTATTTTTCACCCTTGCCCAGCCCTCCCTTCAACCTCT